GCATAAGCTCCGACCTCATCAAGGGCTGACCCAAAACCCTCATCGGTTAATTCTTTATGCCCAGATATCTTAGGTTTTACAACCGACTGGCCTAGATCAATAAGCACAGTCCGGTATAAACAAAGATCATTCACTTAATATGGTCCTCGAGGGACCACACTCCCACTGAGTTTATGTTTTACTATAATAAAAGTATTTTAATACACATTCATAAGGCCTTTAAAGGCCACATTCACCCAACACATACTTTCTATAAAATTATTCTTTTTGCAATCTTCCAAATCGTGCTACCAACCTTTGGCAACGAGGGAATACTTAAATTGTGAAACAATCCCACCCACTTTCTGGGGTAGTGTTAAAGAGAAACCAGCTTTACCGATTAACCAAAGCCATACCTTCACCGTATATGGGCAGTGGATCAACAAGTGGTCAACGGACTCACCATCCAATTTGTAGAGCAAGCAGATATAGGGAAGAATTTACCCCTGTTTTTGCAAATTATCAATTGTTAAGATTTTATCTTACGTAGCAAGCCAAATGAAGACTTGAGTTTTATGCGGTATAGGCCACTTCCAAATTTGCACAATACTGAGGGACGACCATCTCCACCGTTCGTGAAAGATGAGATTGTAGTAAGATTTGACAAAAAACAAACCATCCCTTTCAATTTCCCATATCAAAGTATCGTCTGCCCCCCTGAGAAATATAGACTTTATCCGAGAGTTCCATCAAAGCGCACCATTGGGAAAACATGACATTATTTAACCTTCTATACAAAAGGGGTAAATCCCATACGAATTGTTGACCTCTTTTCTCAACTACTTCACTAACTTTATGATAAGAAGAGGCAGCAACCCTATAAAGATCAGGGAAAATAGACTTCAATGGATACTCCCCAAGCCATTTATGATGCCAAAATTTGATTGCCATCGCCTACATTTCATCTGAAGTAACCCAAGATCATGGATCTACAATTGAAACTAGCCCGCACATATAAGACACCTCCTTCTCTCTACCACCCCCAATCCACAAATTATGCCTATCCATCCTATATTTAGGCCATAAAACTTGATACCAAAGATGATTTTTCAGGTGTAATCTTCGCCACCACCATTTGCAAAGCAAAGCCTGATTAAACTTCGAAACTATCCGTATACACAATCTACCTTCACGCTTGAGTGTGCAGACTTTATCCCACCTTAAAAGATGAAACTTCTTTTTCTCCCCACTTGATCCCCAAAGGAAGTCTCTCATCGTCCTCTCAATTCTCTTTGCAATCGAAGCTGGTAAGTGAATAAGGGACATTTGGTACACTGTCAAGTTAGCAAGGCAGAACCTAAGCAAAGTAACCCTTCCCCTCAGAGACATGTACTTGTGTTTTCAAAGCTCGAGCTTGACTTGAATTCTCTCAAGTACCCTATCTCAGATTGAAATGGGGAATTTTGAATATGAAATTAGAAGTCCTAAATAAGTGATCGGGACATAATCCACTCTAAATCCCATCACCTTGGCCAGTTCACTGACGGTAGACTCACTACAGTTTACTCCCACCATAGAGGACTTATGAAAGTTCATCTTAAGCCCTAAAGTTAGTTCCACATCGATCCAACAATTCCACACAGATTTGTTGGGGAACAGTTTGCCCCACCGATCCCGATTTTGAAGCAATCATATTGAAAGCCTCATTGATTTTCCTAAAAATTAATTGATCATAACAAGATTCTCCTTGTCTTTCTCTCCCCTTAAAAAAAGGGAACAAAAAAGAAAGAAAAAAAAGAAAGAGGAAATACCCTTTTCAAATTCGCACGTCTCAAAATGCTTATAAGTATAATCAGTATTTTAAAAATTGGTGATTTGGTCTGCAACTGGACAACGGTTGGACCATTCCGGATCTGACCATAAAATAGGATCTCGAAGATTAACTGAAATCCAATTGATGACATCACTAATTCAAATTGATGATGTCATGATTTTTTTCATAAAACAAAGGGTAAACTGTGCCTCCACCAAACATATCACCAATTACTCACCTACAAACCACATGTGCATGGGCAGTTATCAACGTTTTTATAAATGAAAAAGTTTTTATAAGGTTGCAACCTTAAAATGTAGAATTATAGATGCAACTCAAAAATCCATCATAAAAAGTTATTTGGATGTTGGAAAACCCTGTAATTGATCGTCTCAACATTGAAATGTATAAATATGAACATAAAAAAAAGATTTCGAACATAAAAAAAAGATTTTGAGTCCACAAAATAGCGTATCTTGTAACACATTATCTGGACAGTCCATTTTTAAGATTTTTGTGTGCTTACATATCTACTAGATTTGAACTAACTTTAGAATTTGAAATTTTATAATTAAAGATGAAAATAGATTATCAAGCCATCCTACTAATTGTTTATATCAAAATTACATTTATGATAAAATTTAGAGGTGCATTTTAATTAAATTTGCCCTTCTCTTTGCCCTTCGTTCCCTTGTGGAGAGGAATTTGGGGACTTCTTATATTATTGAAGGGGATTCTCTCAATGTTGTGAAATGGTGCAAAGGGGATAAGAAACTTCTTTGGGAGTTGAAATCTGTTGTGCAATGGTGCAAAGGGGATCAAAAACTTCATTGGGAGTTGAAATCTTTGTTATTTCATATTTTGGATCTCGCCTCCTCCTTTTCTGTCTCTTTCGTTCATGTATATAGGGAGGCTAATGTGGTAACTGATTCTATGCCAAAGATGGTTCTACCCTTTCTTATTTTGGATTCTATAGTATCGTTCTAGATTAATAATATCTTTGACCTTTCTCTCAAAAAAAAAAAAAAAGGTTGCAATCTTATGCAAACCACACCCTTTTATCAATTTTAAAGTTTTACTTCCTCTTCGCCATGGGACAATTGTCCCATTCCTCCCATTTCAAATAATCCCATATTCTCTCTCTCCCATCACCATATTTTATTCATTTTATGCTAACATAAACCAACTACTCTCATCAATTGAAGGTGGAAGTCACCGTTTGTCTACTTTTGAAATTTCAGTGCGGAGGCGTTTCTCTCTTTTGCCATTAGATACTAGGATGAATGGTAGATGGCAGGCCTTTGATGCTTCCATTTCTAGAAACAAAATCAATGATAGATGGCCATTATATTATTTTCATATTTAGTCTAGATTATATTTATAAATAATATATTTTAACTTTTACAAATATTAGCGAATAGTTTATTAATTTGTTCTTATTACAATAAATTATTTTATACAACAATAAAAAACTGATATAATTTTGAAATGTATCAAGTAGTTATATAGAAATTCTTGAATCATGTTTATTATAAATAATAATTATACACCCAAATCTGGTATTATATTTATTAATTTATTTACAATATAAATTATGTAATGTATTATTTTTGCTTGTATTTATACACAATATTTTTGTAAGGGAAAAGTTTATATAGAGCCGAGGCTTTAAACAATCAAATTTGAGCCTACCTCAAAACTTTCATTAGAAGAGGTGTCCAAATATCTTCAAATCGATCCTCTCGGCATCAAGATGCATGGACATAAAAAAAAAGAGATTTCAAGTCTTGAAAATAATATACTTTGTAACGCATTTTTGGGCCGTCAATTTTTAAGACTTTCAAGTTATAGATTTGTCGATCTACACTATTTTTGAAGGTTTAAATTTTATAAATAAATATAAAAAATATATTTTAAGGCTATTACAAATATTTTCAAGATTCAAACCACACTTTTTAGGCTCTAATTTGATTGTTTAGAGCCTAGGCTCTATACAAACTGCAACCTTTTTTAAAATAAAATTGTTTCATGCGAGCTGGACCGTATTTCTACAATATGCGGTCCAGAGGTATAAAGCATCTATCTTAAAGATGGATACAAATAGGTGGTCCATCTAAAAATAAGTGTAACTAACGATCCAAATGTTTTTCTTAATATAATTATTATTTCTACTTTTCAATTTTTTTTTTCATGATCTCCATGTAAAAGATTATATATTATCTAAAAATTAGGATAAAATTATATTTAAAAAATATATTTATTGCCAAACCCTCATTTCTACAATATGTGGGCTGGTTGGATAGAAATCGTGTCCATCATTTAATGGCTACGAAATAGTTTTATTTTAATCGTCGGATCGGGTTTCTATGCAATGACTAAAATAATCCCATATTCATAACCATTAAAAAAAACCTAGTTTATGGAGCTATTACTATTTTGGCAATATAGGATTCTTTTAATCACCCGATTCGATACTAATACTGGTTTATTGAACATTAAAAAATATATTAGTTTATGAGATATTTTAAGAGAGAAAAATAACACTAGCTTATACCACTTTAGAATTTATTTGAAGTTGCTTTATGAAATATCCTACATATGAATTTCTTTATTTTTTTTTAATTTTATTAAAATATAATTACAAATTTATATTATTAAATTCTATATTTCTATCAACACTAATTATTATACATTGGATTTATTTATTTATGAGGGTCATACCTTTATTTTTGAATCACATTTATTATAATATTTTAATTAATAATTATACTAATTACAATGATAATCAAATCTTATATTTTATTTATTATTTTATTTGTATTATAGATTATGTAATGTATAATTTTTTATTATAGTTGTAAATTAGATTTTTAAGTTAGATGATATTATAAGACAAATATCAAATTTATTTTTATTTGTATAGTAAAATGATGATAAAATAATAAAATACAAACTAATAATTTTAATTTCAATGTATAATATTGTATTTAGTTAGATTTTAATAAATATTTTGTGTGAATCTTCATATAGAGAAAAACTTTTCAATATTCGTATATTAATGTAAAAAATAAAATTATTAATGTAGTACCTTTGTTTTTTATTGCATTATTAAAAAATAATATTTATAATAATTTTTAATACTTTTTTGAAAACTTTTTTAAAACCGAATCCGACTAATACCACCGATTCTCGATCCAATAAGTCGATTCACCGATCAAAATGGAGTGCTGTCGAGGACCGATCCGTTTTTTAATGGACAGGATAACGTAAGCCCGATCCACTGCGCGAGGCGCCAACTGGAGCCTTTGTTCCTTACTTCTGAGTTTCGCTACCCGCTTCAAATGCGCAGGTCCCAAATCAACCGCACTATTTCCATGCTAGGGTTGTGCAGGACCCAAGCCGTGTATAGCCCTAATTTCACTGTGTTATTTGGAGCTCTTTCAATGGCTCCTGCCATGCCTGAGCCCTAAATCTGCTGCCATTTGAAGTTCTTTCAATGGATTCTTCCACGCTTCCCACTACAGTTTTGCAGGTCTTAAGCCCTGTGAAACTCCAATTACTTTGCAATTCAAAGGTTTTTAGTTTGAGAATGCCTATATCAGTAGCTACTCCTCGCTTTTCTCTCCCTCTGAGAGTCGATGATTCCTCTCTTTCTCTGAGAGCCCATGCGTCTCGTCCCATGACCTTCACTTCATCTGTTCGGGCTTCTCCTCCAATGGTAGCACCCTCTCAGTGGAGTCTGAACCAACGCCACATTTTGATGTTGAATGTTATTGCCTGTGCGGTGAGCTTTCGGTTTTTCAGGATTTTTTGCTGAATTTTTTGAAGAATTCTTTTCATTACTATTATTAATTTTTTGCACCTCTCATTTTTGGCATTGGATGGGAGTAACAGATTGTTTCGGCCTGGTTGAATCTCATTTTATTGTTTTTAGTTTGAATATATCTGAAGACTAGTCTAAGAGAAGTTCATGCTTGATGAGTTTGTTATTCGGGTATTTTTAAGAGAACTGATTAGTTTATAGTTGATTGCTTGGTTTTTACTGTTGGGAACCTTGACTAATTAAACTTTGGTCAATTGTATTTTCATTAATTCTAATTTTGTCATTCTCTTGTTTTAGTTGTGTTTTTTCATTATGATTTGTTCGTGGCATCGTTGTTCATTCGAGTAGTTTTTTTTTTTGGATCTAGTGGAAATTCAGAGACTGAACGAGGTTTTTAAGTTCATTTTTGTAGGCCAAGACTTATTGCATCAATGAATTTCACGGGATGCCATTGAGAATATTTCTGGTTCATGCACTCCAATTAAATCATTGGAAACTTCTCCCCTGGTTTCTATTGGCGCACGGCCATGATGAACAAATAATTGCTCTAAGATAATAGAACTTGAGTGAAATTTGTGTAAAAAAATAGAAAATGATGGCAGTGCCACTATTTACAATATCTTCCTTTTGAGAAAGGAAGATATTGAGAGTCCTGGCCCCGTCCCATGATTCCGATCCTCCACAGTAGTTGCTATTTTCTTGTGTTGTGGCATTAATTATCTTTGTAGCTCCTTCCATAACTTAACCAAAGAGACTCATACAGCACTGGCAACACTGCAATTTAGGTTAGGAGTTGTTAGTGATTTCATCATTAGCCTACTATGCATGGTTTGCCATAAAAAAGCTAAAAGAAAAGGTCAAAATCGATGGAAAATAAATTTAACCAATACAGACTTGTCCTGCATACCTGCAAGGCCATTTTTGTAGTGAACAACTTATTTGTTTCAAACGTAAATTAATTGTAAATTAATTTGACAAGGACCTATTTTCCTTTTCATCTATGCACTACTCTCTCCCAAAGACTTTCAGATTTTTTTTTTCTTTTTTTGATAAGATGGACTGTCAGATTTTTAACATCATTTTTCAAGGAAAAGGAAATGTCTTCGCGATGGACAAGGTGAAGCACAACAAAAGACGGGGGGAGGGGTGATGATGCACTCCCATTATTTTATATTGGAACTCAGCACAAAATAAAAGACGATTGTCATTCGAATTTTATCAGCAATCAAACTAAAGTTATATAACAAATGACAATTGGAAACATGTATTTCAAAAGTGGAAGAAAGGGTACCTCCTTTTTTCTGTCTGAAAAGTTCTTTTGTTCCCTGGTCTTGCCACTACCTAGGCCACACTATTCCTTTTCTATTATTTCAATGAATGTTTGATACTTTGATTAAATAATTCTCCTGATTGAAATCTAATAAATTTTGTTGTTATTATTGAAATGGCTAGTGCTGTTTCAATCTCTGCAGTCTACATATGAGTGTATTTCACATTTATTTATTTTGTTTGAATTTCTATAATTATATTTATGTTCTTTAATGTTTTCAAGATACAAACCATGTAGAAACACTTAAATCTGCATCATGCGATGGTTTCATTAAAGAAATCAATCAACACTGACTTTAAAGAATCAACAATTTCACCACTCTTAAGAGAATGCAAAGGTGGGGTTTGGGAACTTGGCCTGGTGGTTTGGGCATGAGGCCTGCGTCACAACATATAAGGTTTGAATACCATTCGACCTACCCCCCTTCAAAACCAGCGTCACAACATATAAGGTTTGAATACCATTTGACCTACCCCCTTTCAAAACCAAAAAAAGAGAGAAATTTCGTATGATGGTTACATCACAAATGCTGTTTTTCCCTTAAGTTGAAATCATGCTTGATAAAATGTGAGAAATTTCAAATATAAATGGATGGTAATATGGAAATACTAGAAGTCCTTCATTGGGATTTCCCAAGAGAATGTATAGCACGGGAAGGATAAGCAAACTTGGTATAGGTTTGACGATATCTTTATTTTTGAAGTTATTATCGATGTATGAAAACCAATTGTGTACATTGGGCGTTAGACTAAAATTCTGCATTTTATTGTCCAATTGTATGCGTGAAGAGATCCTATCGTGATGCCTAACTCTAATGTAAGAGATTCAATTGTGTGCTATTAATTTACATATCATTTCTTTGCTCCCAATTCTGCCACCCATTCTTCAACAATGCGAAAAAGGCTTTGAGTGTGATGGTTCAGTTGTGAATATGCTTGTAAACGAGAGCCTCGAGCAATTTGGTTGGAAGAACTCCCAAAAAAGTTCAGTATCGCACAACAAAGTTCAGGGATGATGTTCAGGCCTTCAGAGGAGTTTTTCAGCCTATTTTGCTGGGTAAAAATCATGTACCAATTTGGACGTTATAGAGCTTTCACTGCCATTATCCAAATGGGGTTATAATAACCATTTCGATATTGGAGCGAAAAGTTGTGGCCATGCTAAGTCAGGATTATTTTTATGACGAGTTTGTCATAATTTATTTCGTCAAGGAGAAAATTTACGAGTCAATTTTAATTATGAGTTCTAATTAACATTAGAATTAGGATTAGGACGTCTAAATAAAGTCTCTGTATGGCGGTTAAGGTTTTGGTTCAAGTTATTGTTTAGAAACATAGTTTCCCTGGCTTCTAGCCATTGAAGCTAGGCTTGCTAGCCAATTCATCAGTGTTTTTTTTTGGTTTTTTTAAAGAAAATCTTCATGTCTTCCTGGTACAAATTTGCGTCGTATTTCCCTCCATTTATATCCCTTTCTTCTCGTCTTTTTCTTTGTCCTTGACTCATTCTTTTGTTTTGATAGCATATTAAGTCAAAGTTTTTTGTCTGCAAACTATATTTGTTTTTAGTTTATTTACACTATGTAGCTCACTATTCTTCATCAATGTCGCAACTTGTATCACTTTGTATTATTGGTGTGCTATCATATAGTTCTGGTGTACTGTGCATTTTGATGGCATAGTTTTTTATGCTTTTTCTTTATCTGTACTGTCATGTTTGGGTGCTACTTTTGCAATGAACCATGCTAACTGTGCATTAATTTTGCTTTATGCACTTTTTGTCTATGCAACATACTTGTCTGGTGCAACACTTTTGGACTCTTGATTTGCAGGAAGTTTGGGCACCATTGGAAAATTTCTAATTGTATAGCACAGTGTTCATGCGCTTGATGCAGTTGACCTACCTGTTTGGTTTTATATTGTTGGATTGGCATTTGGAGTGATGCATGCTTGGCCAGATTGAGATTTGGTGGTGTTTTTTTGCTTACACAGTTAATTTTCAAAGTTTCAATGATCCAATGAGAGGTGGGATATGCTGTTGCACCTCTCAAGTGTGAATGAGTCAATGACATGTCCATATCGAGGATTCGATTTGTTCTAGCCAACGAGTTGCCATGAACATCAGTTGCCTGACTGCTTTTTCTCTCCCTGTTTGTCCAAAAGTTTCAGTCAACGGAAAGCACTCTCCCGGGTGTTTCATTTTTCATCCGCGAGATATTGGTGATTTGTTGAAATTTTTTCCTAGCTCTTCACCACCTCTTTTGGTTTTGTAGGTGATATATTTTTTGATATATGTGACCAGAGAAACTTTCATTTCTCTAGTAGCCCTTTGGATTTTTGCCTCTATTTGCTGGAAAAACTTAAGGCATCATGGAGAAAATTTGCTTCTCTCTCTAGAGTGGATGTCATTTCTCCTTATTCTTTCCTTCTCTTTGTGATGAGTCAGTTTCTTCATCAAATTTGTCTTTAAGCACTTGAAATCGTGAGCATGAGGAAGAGGATAGAAGAGAGCTTTCCACTTTGGGGTGAGAATCAGACCTAAAGAATCGCTCTTAATTCTTGCATTTTTTTTAGAAACTGGTCTGTTTGGTTTAATCTTTTTGAGTTTTAGATTGTTTCCCATTTGCTTTAGGTTCATTTTTCTCCATTATACTGTTTTGGCTCTTCATTGCTCGACTCGACTCTGAACCAGGGCCAAAGGGCTTGGAAATCTCCTTTGTACTCTAGTTTTGACTGAAAGTCTCACCTAATCGTGTGTCAATCTCTAGTTCCTTTGGTGGATTAGCTTTTTGCTTCCATACTCAAGCCGAATCCAGTTGATGGCGAGCCTACATGGCACTATCCAGCTACTTCATCCAAGAGATTATTAGGACCTGCAATAGCCCGGGAGGTTAGGAAATCTTACCCATAGTGGAATAGTAAGAAAGAATGGGATTTCGGGTAGATGCCTCCCAATCCAGGGTTGTAGTATCATGTGTTTTACTGCAATTAACAGGGTCCCCCTCTAAGTACCTTCTTCATGTCTTCTTCGAGCTGTAATATGAAGACTATGTGTTTATTTCATTTTAGAATGATTAGTAAATTTCCCCAAATCTTCCATATTTATCTGAATTTTGCATTGCATAGCCCATGTATGGTTACGATCCGGCGAAAAGACCCATGATACCGTTCTTGAACTCCATTGTCTGAGAGACTTCATTTTTGTCAAGTAGTATGAGTACCTTGCCGTCCATTAGTTTTAGGGGTGTGTGTGTGTGTGGGTGGGTGTGGGGTTGTGGGGGTGGGCAATGTAAAAAAAAATTGCCCGCCCAGCGCCTGGGTGGCTAGGCCTCACCGTCCCTACTGGGGACTATATGGCCCTTGGTGTGGCAATAGGCCAGTCGCCCGCCTAGCTCCTACCGCCTGGGCGCCTGCCCTGAGCCCTTTCAGAGAGCCAAAAATGGCAACACCCAAAAGGGATTTTTAATAATTTTTTTGAAGTGGAAAATAGGTCATGGGGTGTATTTTGGCCCCCAAAACCCCTAGTGAGAGAGATTTTCCTCCCAAAAACACATTTTTTTTTTTGTCAAAGTTCTTTTGAAAATCGATTTTGGACCCAAAGTTTTTGATTTCTTATGAAATTGAAAGGAATTGGACATGGGTCTTTTGGAACCAAAGAGGATGCAAAAGAGGAGAGGTTTTGGCATCCCAAAGTAAGCGAGTGAAGCCTACTTTAATTGGGTTTGAAAATGTTAGTAGATTTAAACGCTTATATTTAGAGTCTCATTTTTTTATGAGCATTATATTATGTTATGTTTTTTTAGTTAATTTTCTTGTGTTTATATTTGAAGTTTGGCATCACATTTATGGTGAAACTTCTTAAGTTTTGTTTTATTTATTTATGATTTTATTTTATTTTATATTGTACTTTTTAAGGATTTGCTTGCTACTTTTGTGATTATAACATATTTTTAAATATTTTGGCTATGTTTCTACTTGATAGTGCAAAATAAAAAAATTATAATGTAACACTTGAGCTTTTAAACTTTCAAGTTTGAAGTAATGTTTGAAATGCTTATGGATGTACATTTATGTCAAAGTTTGGTGCAATTTTACAGTTTAAAGTTATGTAACTTTGTATTTTCGCTTAAACGGCTGATGGGTGTCAAAATTTGGCAATTTTACTGTTTATATTTTTAAACATGTGAATTTTAGTTTATAAGAAGTTAGATTCCATAATTGACAACCCCACACCACACTTTTCTCAACCCACCTTCACTGCCCCCCCCCTCCGCCCCAATCCCCCAACAAAAACAGTGGCCGACCTGTTCTGAGGGATCTTCACTAAAACATAGGGGAAAAGTTTGTGAACTAGCCACCTCTAAGAAAGCTCAGATCTGTACCCATGGTCATGTTTTTGTGGGTCCTCATGCAAGGGGGTGGGACTGGATAGATTTTGGGGGCAAGGGCTCAGCTGGGGTTTGTCTTTCTCGATTGCAACTGGTGATAGAGGCAAGGAAGGTGGGAGTAGGGAAGGGGCTTGGGGAGGAGAAGATGGCGGAGACTGTGGAGGTGTGAGGGAGGGAGTGGGTGGCTGGTAGGTGGTATGTGTGGGAAAAGGGGGAACTCTCTGCATAAGCTCTCTCATCAGAATTTTCAGTTGTACGAATGGGAAGCATCTATATACTTAAAGAGAGAGAACATTTGATTTATCTACTGTTATAGACAGAGCATTTGATTATCGAACTCTTGTAGAGAGTGAAATTTTTAGAGAGAGAGATCGAGAGATCGAGAGAGGATGCTGTGTCTCCCAGGATGATAAGGAATGGTGGCAACATCTTCAATCTACTCGATTGTTCATTCTCACATCTCTCTGCAACTCCTTTTAGTGAATCCTAATAGATGCCGTTGCATAAATGCTCCTAATGCTCCTTTTCAAGTGTTCAGATGATTAACTATGAATACGTGAGGTCCCATAAATTTGGTAAATTTCATGATTATTATTAGGTAGATATGTCTATAACTTTTGTACATGTCCTTATTTGATTGCATGATCTCTCTCTCTCTCTGTGGTCATTAGAAGAACACACATAGATCCATGGCTATATGCTCTGTGATAGAGAAGCGAAGTTTCTTCAGTCATTAATCTCGGTTACATGTTGCCTACAAAATGAAAAAACGAATCATTAGAAGAGTATTTTCGGGAACTAAAATCTTTTGGCTAATGGGAATGGTAGTAGTCAACCAACACGAATGTTTAAGGCATCTCATTGGCTGGAATAAACCCAACCTTGGATATGAGGATGCCATTGGTTCGTTCAAACTTGAGAGATGCAGCAACAAATCCACATTGCCCAATAGACCATTCAAACTTTGAATATGATTGTTTAGGTAAATGGTGGGATTCAAGTCCCAATTGTTTTGGGCCAAGTTTGCCTCATTCAAAATGTCAACTGCAAGAGGGTTTAAATAGAAGCAGCCCAACGATATACCACCAAACAGGTAGGTCAATTGCATGAAGCACACAAACAATACGGTACATAATAAAAAATTTCCTTGTAGTGCCCAAAACCTTTTGTAAAACAAGAAATTGTCCAAAGTGTAGTACCAGACGAGTATGCTATGACAAGAATATTGCACATGTCAAAATTAATGAACTTGTAGCATAGTGCAATGCAAAAAGTAGTGCTAAAACGGGATAGTATACAAACAAGAAGATTTCTATGCTACCATCATGCATAGATTGATGCATCAGAATAGTGCACTAATACATCAATAACACAAGGTGATATAGGTAACAACATTGATGAAGGGGAATGGTGTGCCACGCGGAGTATGACAGACAAACAATATGATATGTAGACAAGAAGCACTCAGTCAACATATTACCAAGGAAAATGAGTCAACGATAGAGAAAGAGACAAGAAGACGGGATATGATATACTTGGAGGCTATGGGTGGCAATCACATCCGTTCGACCTGACACGGGTCCATGTCTGGACCCAAATATTGGACCTGGTGTGTCGGGTCCTAGTTCTTATGACCTCGATCTGACCTGGGACAGGTTTGGGTCTGGGTCTGGGTCTGGGTCCATGTCTGGACCCAAATATTGGACCTGGTGTGTCGGGTCCTAGTTCTTATGACCTCGATCTGACCTGGGACAGGTCTGGGTCTGGGTCTGGGTCCATCTTGGGTCAGGTTAAGTGCGGGTCATGGTCGGCAATATATAATATGTATGTATATATGCATCATTGTTTGTGTATCATAAAATATTTATAATAAAATTTATTTGTTCTTTTATCTAGATCTGGACCCATTAGCACCACAGTTGGAGGGGAAGGGATGATAGAAATGGTAGCAAAGAATGGATGACACAATTTGGAGTGAAGAAATGAAATGTAAATCTATAGCACATCATAGAATCTTTTGAACTAGAGTATGGAGTGAGGCATCATAACATGATCTCTTGTACTAATATTGATGACTGGACTATAAACCACGAATTTTATAGTCTTGGGCTTAATGTGCACATTTTTTGAGATTGAGGCTATGTGGGGTTCGAATACAAACCCTTGCTATTAGAATTATGGAAACTAAATTAGTGGCAGATAAGTTGCCCAACATGTGGATCTAAAGGGACAATATGACAGACTGGATTAAGTAAGTTCTTTTTACATTTGTTGCTCTGAATATAAGGGAATAAGAGGATTCCTGATTTCTTTCTACTTGCGTTTCATTTGTTGATTCTTTAATATTTTCTTTAGTATTATAATTGCCCCTGAGGTCCTGGACTATGTATTTCATAAGCAAATATCAGTGTTGAATTATCAAACAATAGTGGTCTCTTCTCTTGCTTTTTGAATTCTATGATCTCGTACCTTCTTTTTTTCTTTTTGATACCATGATCTAGTGCTTATTAGTCAATGGACCCTCTAATGTATGTTGTGGCATACTTCCTCTTGAGAACGTTCTTATCATAGTTCAACTTGTTTCAGATTCTGCTTTACTTAGTTTCTTATTATTGTTTACTGTTTTAAGTTATGGCGTAAATATTTTTGCAGGTAGCTATTTCTGCATCATGGCTATTTTTCTCCGCGATTCCAACCATTTTGGTGTGTACTCATTAATGTCTTTTCTATCATTAACAAATGTAGAACTGTAAATCGATTTAAGTATTTCTATTGAAATGATTTACATATCTTTACTTTGACAACATAAGTTGATAAATTTGTTCTTTTTTTTTTTTTCTTTATTTCTTGGTAGGGTGCTATTACTGCTCTCTTGAAAAACTTTAAGTAACATTGAAAATGTAAAGGCTGATTTAAGAGGATAGGAAGCAGTCCCAATTGCCAAGTTCCCTTGGAGAAATCCCTAATTTGGCCTAAAGATCTATCTCCTTATGGGCTTTCCTAAGAGCATTTTGAAATGAGATGGCTATGGGGCTACATTTCTTTAGGATTTTCACCTACTCAAACATCAGTCTTCTGTGGCATGAATCTGCCATCCTAGCCTACCCTTCTTGTGCTCAACCCCTTCTTAGAAAGAGATTTCTAAAGAACTTATGGAAGGAGCACCACTGGATTCATAATTGAAACACATCCATCTACCATTCTAGACCAGTGCCAATCCACTGCCTCCGTTCACAAGCCTAGATGCTATAATTTAATCAAATTTTCTCCAAATAAGTATCCCCCAAATAATTTATCTAACCACCCTTGCTGACTCCAGACTTTATCACTTCAAATGTCCTACTATAAATGGTTTTGCCCTGATTTTCTTCACATCCAGAATAGTTGCTGCTTCCTTAAACCTTTTGGTGCCTTGAATTAGCCCCGTCTCCTCTTTGATTGCCGCTTTTATCTCTTGAAACATTTTTGGATGCATTTGTTGGTGCTTTCCCACCTTATGCTTGCATCCTCTCTCCTTTCTGACCTTATGATTGCACTGATCTTTGAGTGCCCTAATCTTGCCAGCTTGCTATGTAGATACCCCTTTCCTTTTGGTTCACGGTTTCTGTCTCTGCTTTCTGTGGATGTCCTCATCAAAAGTATATGTAAATCATAACGTTTTAGCAAGTATTTCTTAGATTTGGTTTCTGCCTTCAGGAAAAATTGTAGAAGTAGTGATAATTTTTAAGACATGTAGCTCACTGAAACGGTGCATTACTAAGAAATTCTCTTGTATCTATTTTCTAGCCGTAGCTTTTTGTTTCTTCCGACATTTTAAGTAACTTCCATAGAAGTTTCCTTCAGAGTCTGGAAGAATTCCTTTGACTGCACTTCTCCTTGCATTTCATATAAGCACAAATTTGGTTTAATCCGGTATGAAATCTGGACATTCATCTCCGGTCCTTGGAAAAACCCCTGCCATGTTTCCAAAACTGGTAATGAGGAAAAAATTCTGAACCATGGTCTGCAAATTATAAGTGAAATTGCTTGTGGCTAGCCCTGCACGTACCCATCTGACAGGATATATTCGTCTTTTTGAGAAATTGGTGGTGTAACGCATAAGGGATATTCATCACCTATTTTGTGTATTTTTAGGGGTAATACTCGGCCACTCAATTTTTCAAATAATCCTCCAAACACTGGGTGGCAAACAAAATACTTCCACCTATCATTTGGGCGGCATAACAAAAACAGTGGGTGGTTAATTAAAAAATTGGGTGGCCATTTCTGGCCTCTGATTTTATTATTATTATTGTTATTATAGGAGCATTATATGGCAATGGATATTAATCTGGAAGGGTTTCTTCTTTCACATATTTGTACATTTCTTTATTTTTTATGCTAGATCCACATTTTCAAATCGTAGATGCACCTTTCTTATGAATCCTTAAAATAATTGCCAAGGCTTTCAAGAAGGCTGCTGAATCACTTGAAAAGCTCTTGGATGTCACAAGGGAAGAACTTCCTGATACAATGGCTGCTGTTAGATTGTCTGGCATGGAGATCAGTGACCTAACCATGGAGCTTAGTGATTTAGGGTCTGCATTTCATTTTTGCCCATCTTACCTACGTTTTGATATTTAACTTGCTTTTTGATTGAGAATTTTGCTTCATAGTTTCTGGAAACCCATGAATTTTTGTCCAGGCAAGAGATAACAAGAGGAGTCCGAAGTTCCACTCGAGCAGTTCGTGTGGCCGAGGATGGTATACGACACCTAACCAATATAAATGCAACAGGTTGGCTTGTGTGGTTTTTAAGTTTTTGCTTCACCAATATCTATCTTTTACCAATTAATGGGATTTGTTATGATATCCTCTATATGGAGAATGTGGTTAACCTACTCAACATTTTCTGGACGTTTGACTTTTCACCTTATTAGTTATAGTACATTCATAAACTACACCTTATGACATGCAATAGGTGTATAATGAAAAAATTGGTGTGGAATGAAAAATCATCAGAAAAAGTTAATTCCAATTATCTTTAATTGTCGGTAAGTGTTAAATGTCCCATGTGCATGTTGCCATACCCTTCCAAACATCATGTGCGCGTTTTCATACCCTCCCAAATATAGAATCACCCTTAGGTTTGACTAGCAATTTTGTTTCCCTCCCTGACGGTGCAACTCCTTGTCACATAAAGGATTTTGTGCTTAGGAAGTGAGGGCATTAAGTGTCCTAAAAGTATTGGGTAAACCATCAGAAATTACCTTATTGAGGGTATCATAACAGAAATCCTTGAATAACTAATAAAAACTGTCAGTTAACTTGGTTTCACTTGGGTGTTTTTGAGTGGTGGGTTTTACCTCTTCACTCGATTAGCAATGGTGCAGGAAACAATGATGGTACGGGCCGAGGGGTCGAGACCAGTGACATCAAGAATGGCAAGAAGCCTACGTGAGGCTGTTTCCATGGGCCGTGCAATTCTGCAAAGTCTGGGTACTTTGAGCAGGTTATCTGGTTTGGCCATGAAATATTGGGCTGCAGCAAGGCAAAAGCGTCAGTGAAAGATGGACGTCTCGAAAAAGAAAAACCAGTGACCTTTATTGAACCCAATGGCTACCATGACCACAGCATTAGTAAGCTTTGGCACTTTCATTTGCATATAACTTTCTCCATATTCTAAGAATGTTCCTTTGTGTTATTGGTGCATATAATGATGCCAACTTCCATGATATCGATTTTTATTTCCAATGTGGTCATGTGCCTACTTTGTTTTGGTGTAGGTAGATGAGGTCTTTTTATTTGATAGATTTGAGATTACGCGCTCTTAATGATATTTGATCACTGGAGTAGTATTTAGGATTCTTTTTCCATACATTCTTTGCTCATTGTGAAACATGCATCAACTTTTTGAATCTCAGGTCTCCTTCTGCAACTTCCACTATGGCTGGCTTTGGTTTGATTTATGTCACAATGGAATGACTTACTGTCATAGATCTTTTCAGCCCCATCCTATCTCCTTGTAATAGATTGTCTTATCACCTTTGTGTGTGTGTGTTACATACATTATATAGTTTTTTAGTGCCATCCTCTCCTTGTAATAGAATATCCTGCTGCGTTTGTGACATAATTTTTTAGCCCCACCCTTTCTCCTTGTAATAGAATATCTTCTCTCTCTCTCTCTCTTACTTACACAGGTTCGTGCTTCTAAGTTAGAGGTGCGAGGGGGTGTCTATAATTTTAGTTGTATTTGACAATGATGCTCTTGGGTTTTTTGGATTGGTGGAAGGCATTCCACCCCATGAGGGCATCCATCGTTCATTACTCATGACAGACAGGGCGACTAACCTTGTCTCTGGGTTATTGCACGCGTATGGTTTTCCTAAAGCATTTGAGGCAACGGACGGTGGATGTTCTCTTGCCTCGTGGTGTATAATGTACCATAGATCAGTGGCGTAGGAAATGCTTTCATGTTAATTTGATTTTGGGTCGCGTGGAGATCTGGTCTAAAGCTAATTAGTCAACGTGTACATCCACACTTCATAACTATTCATTCTCATGTTCTGCATGACAAATCCTTGCTAATTGACTCAATGCGGATCCAAAACCTGGATTTTGAGCCCTATTTGGATCTGGGTTTGGACCTAAAATTTGGATTTGGATCCAAAAATCAGATTCGAATTAAAATTTGGATCGGATTTGGGTGCAGGTGGATTCCATCTAGATTTGACTCGGATCTAAATCCGGATCCAACCCGGTTTTTTTAAATAGTAAATT